CCCGTGATAAAATATCATCCGTGTAAACGGCTAAAATTGTGCGGTCCGTACTACTTTTTTGACATGTCCGTACCCGATTTTTCTGCCGTGTAAACGGCTTTTTAAGTTGGTTGACTGATTGTTAATTATACCGTCTTAAAGGAAATTATTAACGTGTAAATCAAACAACTCCAAGTCTCTGCCCTATTACAATGCAGTGATAAAAAATTCCATATAACAGCACTAAACTGATAACTCGAAATTTTTTATTTAGTGCAAGCACGAATGAAATAAGTCGCCGCACGTTCCTACTCGTAAAAATATTTGGTCACTCAAGCTGTTTTAAACATGAAGCAGTGCTGACAGTGGTTAAGAATAGACGTAACGCAAGATGTTAGGAAATTGTCATAAAACTTAAGTGTTCAAGGGTGACTCTGACACTTACTTTCTGTTGACTTGTTTCTTGGTGGGCTCCAAGTATCCCTTTTGCCACAAGATATAATCTTCCACACCTTCCAATTCAAGATACCGTCCTTGCCCGTAGTCCAGTCCAGTATCTTGTGCAACTGATGGAGGTAACTCGTCATTTGATTGGTTAGATTCTGGTTTGTCTATGACGTTGGTGCTCATCATATTTCGAACTGGTCCACTGTAGTCGATGTCATCTTTCCACACCCAACCATCTGCAATTCGGAACCTTGGCCAAAAAAGAACGACATTCTATATTTTCTGGATTAACGTTGCAACGAAATATTTTTGTTTTTGTTGTTGTTTTTTTTTTCAATAATGTTGCGTCATACTTACGACTAATGGTTTATCTCCACATTGAAGGAGAACCTTAAAAGTCACATTGCTACGCGGTGACTGGTGAATTACATCAAATGTATGAAGTAACTTTTTTCAAACTAAATATCACCTTTTTAAAACTTTTCGCCCTGAATTTTCGAAATATTCTGTGATCATCTTACTAATTGAAAGGAAAAATAAACGCCAGAACTCTCACCTTCAGATTACATTTAGACAGCCTAAAATGGCATGGAAGAATTAAGGTAATCTATTGGTACCAGTTGAGTGCCATCGACTGTGTGATTACCCCAACTACTGGGGATGGCTTGAGCTGTTTCGGCCACTAAAATCATAGTCTTAGACCAGGTGCGCCTCAGAGAAACAGGTTACCAGTTGTAGTTTGTGTTCATCAAAAACTTTTAATGAAAGCTGCATACCGATTTAATAAAAGGCGGTCGGTAATAAAATTAACATTTTGTCAGCAATTAACTATATCACTCTCAATTGAGCCAGAACAGATTGTAAGGCGTGTTCACCTCAAGCACCAAACAGTTATAAGAAGTACTTTGATCAATAACGACATTTAAAATAAACGTATCAGTGATCACACCCAAACAATCCTCGCGGACAATGTCTGTTTTTGTCATAAGTTCAACGTACCTCAACGGAACTTCGACCAGCTTGTTGTCAAGCTCTGCAGCCGGTAAGCTTATTCCAAGGTCACGGTATAAAACAATATAAATAGCACAAAAAATTATTCCGCAGAAAAGAAGATGAACGCACCGAACCCGAAATCGGTTTAGTCGATTGGCGACTCTCATCATAAACAACCAAGTCAGGCTAGTGTACAAACAAACTCATGCCGCGCGGTCAAGCGATGGTGCAAATTTTCGTCATCCACGTGTACTAAATTTTCTGAGAAATCAAAATAAGTTCTAAATAGTAGCAATAGTTAGAATCCATTGCACTTGTTTGAGAGCCGCCAGGTAGCCAACGGGTGATTCGTGACGTCACTCGCTCATTAGATGGTACCCGCGTCTTTTGCATTCACTATCCTCAAACCGGGTTCTTTTCTAATAATCAAGGGATTAAAAACGACGTTTACAGCCAACTTCCTGCTGTCTAGTTTCAGCCGTTGGAACACTAAAGTAAAAAAAATTGCATTTACGATGAAAACTAAATTCTTTTCTTCATCAGCTTAAGATACGGATTACAAGTTTAAGAAAGCAAAACCAAAGTTCATTTTGTAGTCTACCGATGGTTTCACGTCCGCTTCAACTCATTAACAATTATTCACCGGAGTGGAGGTGAATAACTGTTTAAGTGTATACCACAAAGAAATCTCAAGCATAAACCAAACGGGTGGAGTTCTAAGCACATAAAGAATACCTTGCGTTTCACTTCCCGCTTGTTTGATGTCCATTTTGACTGAGAGGGTGGGACAGGAAAGTATTTGATTCAAGGTCCTTCCTTCATGATCGTGAGTCAAAAGTTTCCTGTTCAGCCCAACCTAACTAATCCACAAGTATTATATCACATGACCACTGCTCTTTCCCCCCTACTTTTCTTTTTGCATTTTGCAGCGCTCGAGGCTGTCCATAGGGCCTTACGGCCGGCTGTTTGCGGCCCCATTCGCGCCACCGCGTAAGGCTTCTGTTATGGTACGGGGATTAGTTTGCGTTACGTTGTTCATCAACCGCGACGCGCACAGTTTGCATGGTGAGGTGTTTGTATTATCTGTTTTCATTGAAAGTTACTTCAGCTTTAGTAAAGGTCATTTATTCGTGCGAGTTTTTAAAACTACAGATCTGTCTCATTCATTGACCAATCGGTCACTTTTTTTAGTTTTCTTTCGTTTTAACTCAGTTGAATACACTTTGCTGAAGTTGATGTAACAACATTTCTTCGGTTCAGATAAATACAGTTCTTCAGTAAATTCTGGAATATTTTTCTGGTTATGGGGTACTTTCCTTTGGCGATGTTATACAACTATATTCTACCACTCTATATCTAAAATGGAAGACAAGACATTACAAATGTACAACCTCTGATAAACCAACCGAAACCTCTCTTGACTAACGGTTACTGAAAACTTAATAACAACCGGACGACATTCATTTCTTTCCTTTTCACCATAAGTTATTCTTCGGATGTCCTCGATCCTCTTCGCCCTGAGTGAACGTTCAGAAGATTTTGAAAGTTGTTGGATTTTAAAAGATCTTCCACCGTAAATACTGTCACGGCGTTGCGTCTTTGTCGACAACGTCTCTCGGTCGATCTTATACGAGTCTGCTGATGCTCATCCCTGTGATTCTGTTGTTGAAATCCGCCATGGCCAGTGGAACCAAGAGCCGATAAAAACGCTCTCCATCCCATTCCGTATCTATCTGTTGGCTCAAATCCTGAAATGATAACAAGAAAGCCATGAAGAAAATCAATCAGTGAATCGAAAATTTGCTTTCACTCGTAGCACTGAACATTAATAGTAAGTGTATATTGCGAGAATGAAAATGATCAATTAGATTTTATACCTCATAGTAAAGTCCCAAAATAGGTGGTTTGCAACCAATCTCTGGGGACTCAGGTAATAATAGTGAAAGGAACAAATGCTGGTGGACGAGCAAAAGAAGCCAATGAGATATGTATTGTTTACGTCCACCAGCAAGGCGGCAATGACGTAACGTGCAAACCACCTACCGATCGATTTGCCGAAAGTTTCGCCGAATTTATTTTCAGAAAAATCACCACCACACTGACTTCTTATCCACAAACCGGAAGTGAAATATGAACAACTGAAACCGGAAAAACTACTTTCTAAACAGTCAAAATAATGTGGTTTGTATAGTAATGAACGCAAAGACAAAGAACACGGTATGAATTGTTATCATTCAAATTCTCTCATTTGGAGTTGCAAGCGAGATTTAAAAAATCTGCAAACAGATTGTACCTTAGATGAAGTCTAAGTCGCCCATTAAAATCTTTCATACATTGTCGTGATCTTTACCGATGTCATATTTGCTCGACCCAATATCGCCGACATTTCTGTTTCGTGAAAAATTTTGCGGGTTTTGATTTTTGCTAATTTAGCAGAATGCACTGTATATGCGTAAATCATTTTCCGCGATTCCGGTAAAATTTTTATTCGTAAACACCTAAATTTGTTGCCGCAAAATACAAAAGATCGCCGAATTATAACCAAATCGCCAAATATAACTTCAGAAAAAAATCTCAGACCGACAGACAGAGAGACAAAGGGAATAAATTAGCATAATTCATCTTCAGTTTCTCAGTCTTGCCATCATGAAAAAAAAAAATGAAATATATCCCTCTCTTGTTTACACTTGATGCAGTGTCGCAGATGAGTGAGTTTGCCCCCTGCGACCCACAATTTCATCAGTCAAAAAAAATGCTGGGATGTAAATTTGCATATTCGAATCGGCTCAAGGTAAACCCCGGAAAAATAAATAAGCAAGCTGAGAAAGTGAAGAGGAAAACTAACAGCTACCTCGGTGTATAAATTTAACATAACTTTTCCGGCACAGATATGTAGAAAATCATAGAATGCTGGACCTTTGCAATAGCTGGATTAGACTTGACCGACAGACATTTTCCGCGATAGAATTGTAAAGTCCTTGGCCAATAAAAGCTAAAACCGAATACCCTTTTCCGAATCATTTCCATTTCCGCTGTAATTTTATGTTATACAAAGTCCTTCCGTGTGAAAATTTAGGGAAGCACAAATGATTTCCTCGAGGTCTTACTTTCAACAAGGAATATTGACAAGTAGCAGGCAGACGCCAAAAGGGAACAATAGACTATAGAGAGGAGAGTTGTAACCATTCACGCTGGGTTGGGAAATATTGCCACTTGGCGAATTAAAATTTGCCGCCGTTAGATAAACTTGCTAATAATTAGAATGGATTGGAAAATAGCATAACATAATACGCTTTCGAGTTACTTGATGAGCGTCGCGCAGCAATAAACACCTCATTGCGGAAATATTGTTAATCTCACGACACTGCATGAGCAAACCTGTGTCTATCTGGCCCAATGATACCTAGAAAGGGAATATTGTTGACATTATACTGTAATTACAAATCATACCTCGATTGTGATCAGTTTCTTTTCCCGGAGTGATGAATTAATTCAGTTACCGGACGACGTCGACCACTTCGCAGCACAAGTGCAAGGAGTAATGTTCACTACATTAAAGAAATGATCGGAGACAACAAGTGTTTCCTGAATATTTTTTTCAACACCATTACGTCAATGTTACGTGGGAAGTCGTTTGACCTATGTCTTATTCATAAGACTGGGATAGCCCCTTAAATACGACAAATTTCAAAGGGATCCTTTCCTTACCTTACTCAAACTTTTCAAATTCAACCATCACTCATAAAATTATTCGTATAATGTAGCTGCCGAAAGTGAAAGGAGAAAAAAAACAGGTGATCGGGTAAATTTCGTGATGAACCTGGAAAACCAATCTGAGAAACATAACGAGAGTTTTTGATAAACCATTGATAAATTATAATTCTCGACAACTTGGATGATGGGCAAGTTTAAACTGTGAAACGACTTCGATCAGACGATCACTGGAAAACGGCCCGCGAACTGTAATTTGCCACAAAATTAAACTTATAAGTATGACATCATGATATGCACTACGGATCTCAAAGGTTCCTTGAACTAAACTCGATTTTGTGAGTTAAGTATGCAATGTTTGGGATAATTGTTTTTGAAGATTGATCTTACTTCTCAAGGCTTTTGACTTTTCTTGAAAAACTTAAAGTCAACCAAGAGACTCATATGTAAGCTAGGACAACACTTCGTTCGATTTCGTCCCATCCTCATTAATAACTTTACTCAGTCTGCACTTCTGATATTGATTAGCACAGTCAACACATGTAGCCGAGATCGTCACTAAATGAATTAAAGAAAAGGGCTAAATAAACGTCTATGATTTAGCTTCAATCGCCCGCGGCAGTAGGAGAGTCAAAATTATCACGAGTACATTTCTCTCCAACACTTTCAATTTAACGGAAACGGGATGACACCAATAATGGAAAAAACTATAACTTGAATCAGTTATTCAGATGCATTTCAACTGCGTAGCATGCTAGAGGTATTCCCACACCACGTTACTTCAGCTTTACCACACTCTACTTTAGCTGCCCCTCCACCCCCGGGTCAACGCAGTTTTATTCGATTTCAACCCACACTAAAAAAATTGGTATGTAAAATGTCTTAGAAAATTTGAAAAATCGAAAACAGTTCATCAAAATAATGGCTACTTTTACATTTTTCTTTTATTTTTAATGGCTTTACCTTTAAACTTTAGGTCATTTATTCCTGTGATTTTTGAAACAACAGTTTTACCTCACACGCTGACAAATTGGTCACTCTTTTGACTTCTTCCCCGTTTTAACTCACTTCAGTGCACTTTGCTGTTGCTCATTACAACTCTTAGACTCCTAGGATAAAATTCTTCAGTAAATTCATAAGAAATTTTTTCTGGTTATGTGGCAATTTTCTTTGGCTATGTTAGACAAGAATATATTCTCTTGTGTTATACATGTGTATTCTACCATGCTATGTCTAAATAGAAATTAATAGAGGCTTTTAATGCACGAGTATAATTAACTGAAACATTACCCTACCCGAAATGAATCACAATGCTACTTCTGGTTCAGTTCTTTTTTTTTTTAGGGGATGGAGGATGAGGGGCTCATTATCAAGAGGCCCTGGCGCTCACTGGAACTTTCTAGGCCAGGATAGTGTGCTTCCAGTAGTGTAAAGATGTTAAATCAAGATTGATTCTGTGAGACAAAGCACTAATTTTGATTAATAGGTCTTCAATGTCAGACTAAATCAGTCCAAGATATTTTAAATGTACACGCTCTCATGAACCTACCGAAACCTCTCTTGACTGACGCTTACTGATAACTAAGTAACAATTGTACGACATTCGCGTCTTTTCTTTTCAGAAAAATCTATTCTCCGGATGTCCTCGACCCTCTTCTCGCCGAGCGAATGTTTAGAAGATTTTGGAAGTTGTTGGATTTTAAAAGATCTTCCATTGTAAATAGTGTCACGGCGTTGCGTCTTTGTCGACAACGTCTTTCGGTCGGTCTCAAATGATCCTGCCGATGTCTATCACTGTGATTCAGTTGTTGAAACCCGCCAGTGGAACCTGGAGCTGATAAAAATGCTCTCCATCCCATCTCGGTTCTATCTGTTAATTCAAATCCTAAAAGATAACAAGAAATCAATTTAAAAAAAAATCAATCAGTAAATCAAAATTTTTCTAGAACCAGTTGCAACTCGGAGAACGTAAGTAGAAGTTAAAAAATAAATTTCCTATATCTATTAAAAGAATGAAAATGATCTATTAAATTTCCCCCGCCTCGTATTTAAATTCTCTCATTTGGAGTTACAAATGAAATTTGCAAAATCTGCAAACAAGCTGTACAGAGATGCCATCTTCGCCTTTTGAAATTGTTCATATATCTTCTTTTCCTCTTAACAATGTCATATAAGCTCGATTTATTATCGAGCTAATATGACATGCGGGCTATGATTTAGTTGATTTAGCAGAATACCCTGTGTCCGAAAAAACTAGTTTCCGCGATTCTTTTTTTCTCTTTAAAATGGCAAAATGGACTTTTCTTACGTGACTCATGCATGCAGTTTGCGGTAGTCCACTCATGCAGAGTTTATGGTAGCCCTCGGGACGGCTTGGCGTGTCAAACTATTTTCGATCTGTGTGAACTTCGCAACGAGGCAGTTTGCTGAATGCAGACAAAGGGAATACATTAACATGTTCGGTTTTCCAATCTCGCTGTCACGAAAAAGTTTATTGCATTACTCCCCTGTCGCAGATGATTAAGTTTCCCCACCGGGACTCACAATAACATCAATCAAATGCAATGTTGGGCTGAAATTTGCATAATCGAACAGGCTCAAGGTAAAACCCCGAAAAAACAAGCTAGGAAAGTGAATGGGGAAATTAACAACTACAGTCACTGTTTGAAGTTTACGGAACATTTCTGGCAGTAATTAGTAGAAAATCATATAATGCTGAACCTTTGTAATTTGCAATACATTCCGCAATAAAAACCCAAACTGAGTACCCTTGGACGTCTTATTTCAATTTCCATTTTAATTTCATGACAAATTCCTTTTGTGTAAAAATTTGAAGAAGCACAAACAATATCCTCGAGGTTTTATTTTCAACAAGGAATATTTTCAAGCCGCATGATCGCCAAAAGGGAATAATACATCGGATAGGAACGGTTTTCGTTACCATTCACACTGGGTTTGCAAATATCACCACCTAACTTGTTAAGAGTTTTGCAGCTTATAGATGGATTTGTTAGTAATCGGAATGGATTAAAAACTAGCGTGAGGCAATTCACTTTCGAGTCATTTGGTGAGCGTCGCGCGGCAATAAACACCTCATTGCGGAAATATTGCTAATCTTAGGAGATAGAAATCAGTCAGTGTTTATCTGGCCCAACGATGAAAGGATCGATTGTAAACATTGTACTATCATAGCAAATCATACCTCGACTGTGATCAGTTGTCTCCCCGGACTGAGAAATTAATTTTTACCGGAGGACGCCGATTGTTTTGCAGTGCAAGAACGGGAAGTACTGTTCACCGCAGTCAGTCAAGAACTGATCAGCGACAGCAGATGTTTTCAGAATATTTTTGTTAACACGATTACGTGAGTAATACGTCTCATGTCTTATTCATTCCCCGGGATAGTCCCCTAAATATGACGTATTTCAAAGAGATTTTTCCCTTGCATCTTTCAATCTTTATAAACTCAACCATCACCCATAAAATTATTTTTAATTATTATTCTTACACAAACAGGTTATCGGGTAAATTTTGTGACTGAGCTAGTTGAGATCAAATCTAACAAACTGACAAAAAAATAACGAGATTTTCGAATAAATCAACGACTAAACCATCCATCTGCGGCAAATCGGATAGTTTCAAACTATGAAACGATGCCTATCAGATGACCACAGGCAAACCGTTCTCGACATGTCGAAAATACTATGTACTACTATGACGTAATTTGACCTCGCCATAAACTTATGAGTATGACGTCATGACATGCACCACTGATCTTAAAGTTTCCTTAAAACTAGACTTTCTAAAATATGATCTTAGCTCGATTTCTGCCCCAACTCAAGCTTATTGATAACTTCACTCCCTCCGCATTTCTGATCGGCATTAAGAGTAATGGTTGAAATGAGCGAAAATCCGATGAAAAAAATTGACTAAATAGACGCATCTGATACCATCTGTAAATAATGGACAAAACTTTACTTTGACTCACTTATTCAGATGCATTTCGATCGAGTGGCATACGAGAATATTTTCCTGCCACTTCACTTTAGCTTTGTCACGCTCTACTTCAGCTCTNGAGATTTGACGCGAAGAAATGATGGCTTTGATGATGCGAGTGAGTTGAACAAGAAAATGAAAGCTACGGAAGATGATCTGATGCAAACTAAAGATGTTGGTGGTACAGCGATAAACGTTCAGTCTAAGTATACACTGCGAGCTCCTCCGGGTTCATTTATGGAATTTGTATCACATACTCAGGTAGACTGTAGGAGCTTAAAGTTATCACAACCGTCTGTTCAATAATTTCAGTCAGTTTGTGGACGTATACTTGAAGAATACCCGGCCACATCATTTACATGTCATTGAATAAGAATAGCGTCTATTGTATTAGACCTCATTCTTCAAAGCCTCCCGACATATGTAAATGATGTGGACGGGTATTCTGAAGTTGCCCCGTATACGTAATTATCATAGAAGTTTTGTTAAGCTGATCAACTTCAACATCCTCGTCATTAAATGTATACCTTGAATATCTGGTCGTTTAGATTTCTCTCTAATAGGGTAAAGCGTTGAAAAAATCAAATCCCTTGGTAAATTTTCAACAATACACCATTCAAACTCCTCTGTAAATTTGGATGACAGACCACTATCCTAAAATGTTCATGATTCAAAGGTCAACAGTGCTCTATAATTATTATGATCATCCAGGCGAGGGGAGGTCAAGAAAGGGAAAAGGATTATTTGTCACTGGCATTGATCTAACTTACTTGTCTTAATATGATGGGTTTGATTCAAGGGTTCTTGAAACATGTCACAATGTAGCCAACACTGGTCCATTTCTGTATTAACAATACAATTCAGTAATAATAAACTATTATCATTTGTCACAATTCACATTACAATCAGATCAAATTGCAATTCACATTATAAGTGACCACATCATGAGACAAGTAATAATACTTTATCATCATAGTACTTTACCACAATGAACAAGCACAATCTTTTTAATGAAATACAATTCAATGGTTCCAATTTCAATGGAATACTTGTGTCAGTGTACATGTACTTAAATTCAAATTTTGTGAACAAAGGGAATCTATTGGGTTCAATTTATTGGGTTCAAACTGCCGTCTGATGAGTTCATGTTTTAGAGCATTAGGCTGCCATGGGGTAGGTGGAGGGTTCAAGCTTCAGACCCAACTTACACTCAGGTTCTCAATACTAAGGAGAATTTGTTGCTTTTGCTATGACATCTGCAAATGGTTCTAGACATTCTAGTCTTCTTGGATAAGGGCAAAAAAACACATATAGGTCCCTTCTCCTGCATCTTCTCTGTACTGGCTAGTAGAGGATTTACTGTTATGGTCTGGCCTTCATTCTGAAAATGGGGGCATCTTCAAAAATTTCCTTCAAAGGTTGCAAACTGTTCAATGTGGTCTAGCCAAAGTCCCCCACAAAGTGTTGTCAAGGGCCATGAGCCAATGAATATAAATCCTACTTCATCATTATTAATTAATTTCACTCTAATGAATTGGAATAAATGAAAATCATATATGTGTACTCTGGTTTCATGAAATACACAAAAGTGATCCTCCCAGTAATGAACTCTGTTTATGTAGTAGTGGAATTAAAGGCCGGAAAAAAGATTCAGGCCCATACAGGATTTAAACCCACCTCCCAGTTGGCTTGTTAGCTCAGTTGGTAGAGCACTGCAGTATCACATACAAGCCTGAATTTTTTTCAGGCCTCATTTCCACTTCTACTTAAGTAGGGTTCATTACTACAAGGATTGCTTTCATACATTTTATTTCACTCTGTTTGAAGGTCAAACTTGAAAAAAAGTAGGGCTCGCATAGGCAAGAGTAATAGATATTCAATTAAAAACCAATGAAAGAGTTGGAGTGTCCAAACTTTTAATTAACTGTCATTAAAGTATTCCCTTTTTTGTTCTGCCAACTTTACTCAATTGGTTGGAATCCTCACAAGCGCCTCAGGAATAATGTTTGCCCAACATTAGTTGAATTGATCATCTGTTTCATGTTGTTTAATTTCTTTTTTTAAGGAAGAACTAAGGAACAGTTTTGGGAGAGGAAGACACAGGCCTAGAAGATTGATAAGACAGGTACAGTGTCTGTGTGCAGCAACCTAAGAATCAAAATGCTCTATGTTAACAGTTACAACGACAGTGTAGAAATTCTTGCCCATCACTTCTAGTCCTTGTTTTTATATGTAGTCAAACTGCATAGTTTGTAACATCTGTAATTGTATGAATTGATAAACAACACAGCTGAGGTATGGAAATAAAATTAATGTACATGTTAAGTATACACCACACAGATGGACAGTGCTTTTTGCATGTGCTGATTGGCTATTTTGGAGTGAATAGCAAGACCTTGATTCACCTCCCAGCAGCTGATGAGACACAATCATGCATCAAGAGTTTCATTTCCAACCCTTTTTTTTGGCTATATTGGAAGAAAAAAATAATAAACTAGTTTTTTTTTTATCTGTGTGGTATGTAATAAAACAATTATTCACTTCATTGTCATTCAGTGATGGATATTCACCAAGCTGCAAAGTGGCAAGATAAATATCCACCACTATTCACCTTTACTTTGATGAATAATTGTTAAAATTAATTATACTGTGATAAATATACATAATATATATTATATTATAATATAGTATTATGGGTGAATTTGGTATGTTTATCTCATGATCTAATTTTCTTTATTTAGGACCAGGATTCAGAATCTAGTGAAGAAGAAGACGTCTATAATGAAACACTTGAAGAAACAGAAGGATGGAAGCTGTTAATGGAGGCCATTGAATCAAAGTGTGAGAATAAGGCAAAAACAAAAACTAACTCACGTCAGAGTAACAATTTGACTAAGACATGATTAATACACCTGTTATGTAAATTAAGTCTCCCTTTGTGTGCAAGTTACATGTAGGTTGCTGTAAGCAGCCTACATGTAACTTGAAGACTGTAAATGATGAAGGCTTCAGATGAAGTTGGCCCTAATTTGTGTTAATATTCAAAACCGCTTACATTGTGTAAGACACTCGTGTAGATGACAACATAACTACTCTTTTGAATCACTTATTTATTTTACCTGTTTATCAACATGAGGCAAATAAAATTAAATTCTCTTTCTTTTACACCCTACAGTCCCCAACAAATTTATGACTACCCATTCCAGTCACTATTTTCTCTCAACAGTGTTTGACTTCTTTTGATGAATGTATGTTGACTAGTTTTCATGCATTGTATTGTTGTGCAAAATGGCTTTTGTATGAAATCAAAGACATCATCTGAGTAACTTGTTTGATGCAGTGGAATGGAGAGTAAATGATTTTGCGAGTACTTGCTTCACTTTTTCCTCAAGAATGAAATTTGTTTTCTCTTCATATGCAGTCAACCAAAAAATGTAGTCCCTCTTTTTATTTTGAAGAAACTGAGGCCTTCTGAGAGAGACAATTTGTAAGTGTATGCTATTTCTGCAATTCCTGAAAGACAACCTGTCGTAATGCCACAATATTTATTGGAAATCATAGTGTTCCCCATTTGAATAGTTTCTCGGTTTGAACAGAGATCTTGCCTTCCACACCTTAGCCTGTGTGATCCAATTTCCCACAGCTACAGGTAGCTTATAGTCAGAAATTTTTATGCAATAATGCAGTAAGTTGTTATCCACCAAAGCATTCCTCACCCGGCATAACTCCTTTTTCTAGACTTGTAGTTTCTTTCAGAGATCTCTTTTGCCCAAATGATTGACACAAAGATAAAACGTGCACAGGTTGGTAAATGTGAAAGGGGATGGCTCCACCTTAAAATTTTATCAAGGTGTTATCAAATATGTGAAATTTATTTACACAAATTGTTTTCCCGAATTCTATCCTGGATGGTTTTATTTTAGTACAAAAGGACCTCTAATATTCTTTTGTCAAAGGAACAAGCACTCTCGGAAAAACTGACAATAGCTCTAAAAGATTTTCGTTAATATTTACATAATAAAAACTTCCCAATTTCTTAAGAAATAAATATGTCTAAATAATAA